TTCCTTCTTCTCCTCTTCTTTTTCCTTTCTTGTTATCGCCTTCGTGCCACCTGCCCTGCGCTCGTCTTCTTCAGTTTCGGTTTGGCATCCCTCGGCGCTTTTAAGTCCTTTTAGCCACAAATCGTACCTAAACACAGCACTTTTGTGTCCTTTCCTTACACCGAGCATGCAATCCTCAACATTAAGGATTTCTTGGAGGACAACAACCTATACACCTACAATATGTTAGGCTTCAGATCTTTACTATCTACTCAGGATGCTATGAAGCAGATTAAACACGACATTCTAGACGGATACTCTAGAGATACCGAAGCCATCCTCGGACTAGACATGGAGAAAGCATTAGACAACATTAGGCAGAAATACATTCTTCAAACGATAGAGGAAATCGCACTTGGATCGAAAATGTATAATTACATAAAATCTTTCTTAGGGGCACGTACGTCGAGGTTAAGGGTAGGAGACACCAACTCAGACGTGGTTCAACTCGGCGATCGTTGAACCCCTCAAGGCTCGGTGATCTCTCTCGTCCTCTTCAACCTGTGCATGATCGGCCTGTCCAGGAAACTGAGCAATATCAGCAACATTCACCACACCATCTATGTTGATGACCTTACTATATGGTGTGCTGGTGATAGTGAAGGACAGGTACAAGATGCACTCACAGAAGCGGTGCAGACGGTGGAGGAATACTTGAGGCCCACTGGTCTCAGGTGCTCCCCACAGAAATCTGGGTTATTACTTTACAGAAAAGAGAAAGGGGGGAAGACCTAAGGTTTAGAAGCCACTATCTGAAAGTGACATACATATATTGACCGAAAACGGGGTAAATATACCCAGAGTCGACACGATGAGGGTACTGGGCTTTTTTATAGGTGCAAATGGCACAAATCACATGGCACGCAAGAAAATTATCTTCAAGACAGAGAATGCATACCGGATTATCAGACGACTTGCAGGGAGACAAAAAGGCATGAAAGAGGACAATCTTATCAGGTTGATCAACTCTTTCGTGCTATGTCATATTTCATATGCGGCTTCTATGTATAACTTGACACAAACCCAACTAAAGAAGCTCGATGCGGTGATCAAGAAAGTCAGCAAGAGTGCACTTGGTCTCCCGCTTCGCACCCGCACTCAAAAACTGCTCAGGTTAAGGGTACACAACACGACTAGAGAAATTGCGGAGGCTCAAGAAGGGTCACAAATAGCAAGACTCTCTACAACTTGTACGGGGAGATCGATCCTCGGTAGAATCATGATCAACCCTGTCATCGACCAGGAGACGTACACCAAGATACTACAAGACTTCGCTGAGAGCATCATCGTTGCCCCGATTGTTAAGAAATATGCACCCGACCTTCAACGTTGCCAGAAGGGTAGCCCGGGCTAAGGCTTTATTGAAGAAGTTGGATAAAGGAGGCAGCGGGGCTTGCTTTGTCGGCTCAGCCTCATATAATGACCGAAATAAGTTCGCCGCAGTAGTAGTTGACCACCAGGGCAGGTGTACCAACTGCGCCACAGTTTACACTTCCAAACCGGAAATCGCTGAACAGGTTGCTATCGTGTTGGCCCTGACAGATGATCGATACACCAAGATATACAGTGACTCAAAACCAGCCATCAGAGCCTTCAGCAGGGGCAGGATCACACCACAAGCAGTTTGAATTATTAATAGTAAACAGGCCATTGATACACATTACATATATTGGTTCCCAGCGCACCTTGGATCACTCGATGACATTCCCATGAATCCAAATAAATCGGCCAACAGCGTTCGCCCGCAAACTTACGGACCGGGACGCTTTTACGCGTGGCTTTGATTCGGCTGGATTCGAAAATCTACAACGGGATACGCCCATGACATATATTGAAATTACTAAACATTACTACCTGGGGAGGAGACAGTTTGCACCCCCTCACAGTAGACTAAGCAGAGCACAAGCGGTCACACTTAGACAATTACAGACACAGTCTTATTACTCACCGGCACAGGTAAAAGAATCGTACGATATAAAAGATATGGATGTTGTTTGCAAGGCATGTAAGAAAGAAGTATGCACGCTTGATCATATGCTCTGGGAATGTAAGTCGCTTGGCCGTGGCATTTCCCGGGAACGGTTTACAGGAATGATAAAGTCTCACGATCATATCCCCCAAATCCTGGCTATCCAGTCCACCCATGACAGGGCTAGGAGGCTTGACCTCCCAGTCCCAACGTGGGATTAGCCAGGCAGGTGGCTACACCCTGTACAGGACGTATAAATAAAGTTGTTTCCATCCATCCAAGAGTGACTTGCACAAAGACAGCATCTTGGATGTCTTGGCAGTAATCAACAGAAGCATTGGGGGTATTGGCTGAAACGAACATTGCAAGCCATTAACCGCTAAGCTGATCAGATTTCATGTGGTCACAGGAATGCATTTTTATGTTAAGGGTTTGAACAAGTCGTGGGATGAGAAATGAAGCGCGCAGCAGCACCTAAGTTGAGTAGGCTATAGATTGCTACAGTGCCGTAAAAAGAATGTAATTTTTTGTGCATATTTTATTACACTCTGAATTTTTTGACGGTACACCAAGAAGAAAAACAATTTTTCCTAGAAGAGGCTTGTAAGCGAGAGAACGTGCAAATATGATGCAAAATCTAAAAATAAAACTTTGATTTTCAATCTTTTTTGTATTAAACCTGTGATGGTAAATTTAGCAGCATTAGGGTTCTCGATGCATAATTAATCAATCTAAGCCTATCCATTGTTACACTTCAGGGTCCCTTCAAACTATTTTGTGACCATAACATCTTTTTTTATTAAGATGCATTTTAGAAAGACAATCTAAACTGTTGTTCTGTTTGCTTTGTTTTATGTTATCTCTTGTATCCTGGCTCTATAATTTTATGCTTTTTACAACTTACTTAAATGCAAATGTATTGTTTTATAAATATGTAAACCTTGCATTTTTATGTTATCAATTATTATTATCGTTACAGTAACGACTCTGCTTTGCGGTGGTGTTTCATTTTTTAAACTCTCAAAATCCTCCACTACTATGTTTCACTGAAGACATTCTTCTGCAGTATTACGTATTCGCATTTTTGTGGGTTCTACAACAATAAATCTATTCCCATATTTCAAAATCAAAGGGAGGTTTTGAAAAACTCTGCTGTTCATCAAATAATGTCAATAAAGCCTGCTTTTTCTGTCGTGTGTGCACGCAGCCACAAGCAACGAGTCTTTCATTTGATTCCAGCTTTGGTGTTTTACGTGGAACGGGCCAAGAGCTCTACGTTTTGTGTGCAGCATATTCCTTTTTCTTTTTTTTGGGGGGGGGGGGGGGGGGGGCTTGTAAAATGTGTACGCTTAAAAATAAAACGCGCTCGCTATATTGTACAATGTGCTATGTACGTTCGAACTGCAGTGCGGTCAGCAGCAACTTCAATAACAATCATGTCAAATAACCTTTATTTGCTTTATTTGCACGAAAAAGAGGAGGAATGAGAAAAAAAGAGGGAGATCATCTTCACACTAGGCGCAACGGAAAGTACCAACAAGTACGCGCTGCGTACGCGGAATGCCTGCCAGCCATCAGCACAGAAAGATTGGTCGACGCCAGCGCCACCGCATCATTCCACACTGAAACGTCCGCTCCCAGGCAGCTGCTCGCGCCACTCAAAGGCTTCTAGTACACTCTAACCTCATCATAGCTCTCAAACGCCTCCTTCGATAAGCACATTATCACGTCTGACACATCGCCGGGAAGTAGAGCTAACAGGTTCTGGGCCCAAAGAGACCGCTCCAAAGCATTGCGCTCACAGACGTGTTCAAACTTGACGAGACACTTTGCCATGTCCTTGCCTACTACAAATGATGGCAGTTGGTCCCGAATTCTATGATCGCTGACCTGAACCGTTGCAAAAGGTACGCTAGGCACCTGCGAACACTATAGGATTGCTAATTTTATTCTTTTCAACTCGAGGCGCTCCTGTCTCTCGGCCTCCTTATGCTCACGACGTTTGTGCCTTTCTGCCTCCTTGCGGCGTGCTTTGATATCCGCCCAGGCCTCATCGACTTCCTCAGCCGACACTCCTTCATCCTTCATGATCTTAAGGGTCGCTTGCTTTTGTTTTGCAAGGCCCAAAGTAAGGCCAAGTTTCTCACAAATTTCGATGAGTTCCTTCACTTTAAGGTTCTCCATCGTTCACACTAGCCTCTTGCTGTTCACCTTTATTAGGAATCTATTTGCCGTATACACTATAAGTCTACTAGGAAAGCGCGCAAGCAATTTTTAACAGTACCGTGTTTAGACCCTCCGCATTACCTTTGGTTTCGAAGCGCTCCGACTTGGCTTGAAACAATCAAAGTTCACTCTAATGCTTCCCGCAGCCCTTCTCTGAACTACTATAACCTGTGCTAGAGTAGTCTGGTGAACTGAGGGGAAAACATCAGGCACTCACCACATGGATGTTGATAAAGCCGGCCGATCCCGTAACTGCCATCCACTGTTACGAGGCGCGCCGCCGCCGAGGTTACGAAGGACGCCACAAAACTCGCCGCTGCCAAGGACACCGGCCGCGCCAATAGCGTGGGGACTTGAAGAACCGAGATGTCTTCTCTCTGATGCATGGGTCGGCTTTTTTTTTTCTTTTATAGGCACCGGGTGGACCTTTACGTCACTAATGTTCAATCAGACGCGCCACTGGCCGTGATGTCAGATTTCTCCAGTCAAGAACCACCGCTGGGTTGCGTCATGATGAGTAGCTGCGCATGGTTGCACCCAAGGACGAGTGATGTTGCCAAGCATCGCGGAAGACTCGCCAGACTGGATGGCGCCGCTTGCTTCATCGGGCCCGTCGGCTGAGGGAGCTTGCCGTGCGTTGCATAAGACAGACCGGCGATGCCGCTTGATGACGTCGTTGAGATTATGGCATCAGGTGAATTCGCTCGCTGGCCTTGACATAGATTGGTTTGCAGAGGCAATGACGTTTGGTGTGGACTCCCAGGCATAACAACACGCAGTTTTTTACATTAAATAGTGGAGCTGCGAGGATCGGGCACACTCTTACGAGGGCTGTTCCAAGCCTCAACAGAAAAGACCATAGCTTTTTTTCCACACTAGCGGGCCTCTTACTTATCACTTGCATGCACCACATCACAAAGTTTGTCACCATCGTCCAAGGCGTTTACTTAACAGCAGAGATGCCAGCAACGAGGAACGCATACAGAACAGTTCCGCACAGCAAAATCCATAAACCCTCCCTCCCTTCCCTCCCTCCCGCAAGCCCATGAGCTCGCATTTTCCCTAACCTGGAATCACGGGGCGCGTGACATTTAAAGCCTTGACAGCCTCCCGCCACTGCTGCATGTTCATCGTCATTGTGAAGCCGCCACTTTTGTTAGCCTCGCGCTCGGTGCTCGTGTTCCCGTAAACAGGCTCCACCACGAGCAGGTTGTTTGCGTCACACTTGATGCGGGCATGACCCTCGTTAATTAGAAATGATAAGTGAAAAATGTTCTCGCACGTTTTGGCGAACGAACGAGGGTGCAGAACGAGCTCAATGTATGGCAGAGGTCGTTTCATCTTCTGGTACAGGTCCCTCAGCAGCTCATGGATGATGGCGACGCGTTCTGTCGTAGTCTCTTGGTTTGTCTGTTCTCCGGAGCGAACCTGAAAGAAACACGAAGCTGCCAATGAGGACGAATACAAGGCAACGAAACAAGTACTATGTATCAGCGTCAAATGAAACCAGAACAGCGGCAAAACCTTTGTGATGGTATAGTGCGCGCCACCCACTTATCACTAAGAACAGGCACGCATATATGCGCAAAGCTGCCAAATAGGATACGTGCACCTGTAAGTGGTGATAACTGGACGGCACGCACTACATTATCGCAAAGGCTTGCTGCTGTTCGGCTTTCATTTGATGCCGATAGTACAGGTAGGCAAACTCACTCGCGAGTCAACACATACTCAGATTTACCCGTAAGCCTGAGAGTGTGCATGGGAGTAGCATTATGATGAGTCTGAGCCCAAGTGAATCTACAAACAAAACACATTTCTTCAGTAAGTCTGAGTCTGCACTGCACTTTCTGTTCCTATGGTGCTATCTACTCAACTTCTGCATTGCCATCAGCCTTACGTTGGCTCACGCTTGCAGTCACATCTACTCACACGTACTTCGATGCACTACCAATCATGCACCAGCCGGACATTTATTCTCAGACGGTGTGGAGTTACGTAAGGCCAGCAAGATCTTCGTGGGAAGTTTATAGTAAAGATATCTCGAGCGAGTAGTTTATTTCAATAAACATGTCCTCAGTGAGTTGCAACTACCAATCCCACGTATTTGAAGACGCGAAGTCGTAAGGTGCCACATGGGGCATGATTACGCGAGATTAAAAAGTCTGCAGGTATAATGTGGCAGGCAGCAAGCACAAGACCGATTTGAATGGCAGATCATGAAAGAGGCCTTTTACCCTGCAGTGGGCGTAATCAAGCTGATGATTATGCAAGATATTGACTTAAAAGCATTGATACCATGGTTGAAAAAGCTGTTTATGCGCTACAAGACCCATAACTCGACTCACTCAAACTCAGATTGAGCCATAGATCTGGGAGAGTCCAGCTCTATAATATTTTGGCGAGTCTGAGCCCAAATGAGCCCCAAGCACCAAAATATACTTTTTGAGTAAGTGAGTGAATGGGCAAAAATTTTTTGCCAAAGTATAGAATCCAGACACCAACTAGGTATGAATCAGGATGGTGGAATCCAATTACAAAGGTGGAAGTTAAATATATTAATGAACATAATGAGGTCATTTGATCTTTACATGAAAAAGTGTTGCACGGTTCCTTTAACAATTTTGATGTAGACCAAAAAAACTTGCAAACTCTTTCCCAATGCACAAATTTGCTGGTAGTATCAGTCAGAGTGGCATCAGCTACCCACACACGAACTGTCTCATCGTTAATACGTGTTTCGATTTCCAGAACGGTATTCCGTACGAGTTCAAGTTCTGGAGCGAGCACTCGATTTGCACCAAGCCATATCTGCCAGTGAAACACGTGAATGCCCGGAGAGAAGTTGTTCTGGAAGTTGTTTATGTATACGTCCCTAAACCAGTTCCCGAAATGATTCGTTTCTTCACTCTCTATATTTCCAAGGCTAATATGTCGCCACTGCAAAGAGTGCATTTTGATCTCACCATCGCGGAAAGCCGGGGTACCGTTTCCTTGTGATGTGGCAACAAATATGAACGAGCACATGGGAAATACCTTCCCAGCTGTGTGCCAGCTGTTGCGGGCGTGCTCATCGCTAGACAGCAGTTTCCCCACAGCAGCGAATGCAGCCATTTTGCAAATCTCAGCCCATGCACAATGATGGCAGTGACGTATGCTGCTCATTGCACTTTCGCCCGAATCCAGAACTTGGCAGTGAAACAGTGAGAGCAATCTGCCTCTAAAAGAGTTGCCCTGAAAGAACCAGCGAAAAGTGCAATCCCACGCCAAATCTACTTGTGAAATTTGGATTTGTTACCATGAAGCAAGAAAACCTGCTCCAGATCTACCAGTGAGTAATGCCATAAGCAGACAGTTCCAGGTAGTTCTCAAGGACTCGATCACGACAGTTACTGCTCGCACCGGTCGGGTTGCCGGAATCTTACAGAATGTACCACCGTGAGGATTAGCCCACTCATAAGCGTGCCAAGCCAACAGACACAGCAGAGTAGGCCAATAACAAAGTAAATGAACCCCGATGGATTTCGTATCCCTCAGCTCACATTGTCCAAAAATATCTATGAACCACTAAAGATGAAACTCTGAGCACTACAGTGCTCACAAAGCAGTAGTCAGTGACTCAATAAAAAAGAAGCATTAACGTTATGATCCACAGCATATGCTCCATTCGTTTTGCAATCCTACTTGCAATGATGCGATGGTTCCAGTATGGTCCCTGATGCGATGGTCCCTAGTGCCGGGGACCCGAAGCGGCTTGTTCATGCACTCTCTAATAAAACATTAAAATAACAGAGTTTTAGAGCTGGGGCCCAAACTCGGCTAGCCTACGAAAGCATTTGCACTCTTTGTATTCTCTATGGACGCTGCTTGGAGTACAAATTAAGCAACGATAGAGGGTGCGAACGCAAGGAACGGCACCAGTCACTTTTACCTGCTTGGGGACGGTCGGCGCCCTGTCCGGGCCTTCTTGTGGTTGTCGCCTCACAGGCGCCTGCCGCGTCTTGACCGGCACCTCACCCGCCGATCCATACAAGTACCAGAACGGGTGGCTTGCCCTGACGTTTCCCTCGGCCAGCTTGCCAATCTGGGCCCAGGCCCTCTCGGTGAGCGGGTCGGTCTGCGACGTGTCTGAGACGAAGTCACGCACCCGCGCCGCGAACTCGTCTGGCTCGAACTTGCGCAGGTTGATCGGCAGCGCAGTGACCAGCTGACGTCCCCGGGAAGCCGCTAGGCTGACGAGCGTCGAGTCCAACACGGCCTCAGGCGTGCGCGTGACATCTTCGAAGAGCTCCTTCGCTCTACGCAGGGCCTCGTTCGGAATTACATTTTCCGGCTCGTTGAGCTGCTTGTCGATGACGGCCCGGTAGGCGTGTCGGAGTCGGCGCGCCTTCGAGGCGTCCTGAGACGCCAGGCGGTCCTGCGACGCATCCTCGGACCACACACCCTGCGACTCGGACTCCATCGTCTCGGACTCTTGCGACACATTCAGCTCGCTCATGTCGCGCGAGAGGGCGTCCGCCGTACTCGTTACGTGCGGCATTGTGTGGACTGCCTTGCAGCACTACTTGACGTCAACTGGAGTCCACGCGTCTCGCTATAAAACGCGTGTAACCGTTGGACAAGTTTGCGTCGTCTGTTCCTGCGAGTTCTCGCGCCAAGAACGGAGCTTGGATGGATTCGGATATATGCTGCTGCTTTTACTACAATAAGTATAACAAAATTGCACAAAACTTGTGCACTTTAATTTGTTTTAAATGTTATTGCCAAAAAATAAAGCTTATGTATGCTTTAGTTCAGGTCTAAGTCTGCGTTTAAACATTTGATATCTCTTACTACGGGCTACAAATCTCAAAGGCTACGCGTTTGAACGCCGTCAACCACGTCGTAAGCGCCACGGTTTAAAAATAATTCATCAGTCAAAGCAAGCCACAGCCGGAGCCTCGTTACCACAGTGACGAAGATCACATCTTCAACGCTCCCGCAGAGGCGGAGGGGAGGGGCTCGAAAAAAATGTACGAAGAAATAACGAGAAATCACAGGCCAACGCACAGGCTCTTACGGGTTGTACAACGACGGGAGGCTCCGCGCCGTCATGGCTGGTGGTGGACCGTGATCCTCGTCCAAATCGGGGATTGCCCACCATGACTCCACGACCGCACTGACGTAAAAGGTCGGTCCGTTACGTTCGTTTTTCATCGTGCATTGCAGTTCCGAGCGGTCCGCGGAAGTGTTCACAAGCAGGGACCAATGACGTCACGCTCTAAGCGTGTTGCGTGTTCCCTGAACTTGGGGTTTTGGCTGATGAACACAAACCACAACGATGATCCGGCGATCTTTCTAGAATCTGGTCGTGATCACGAACGACGTATTCAACGAGTCATCGCTGCATATTCAAGCATATGCTTCCGTTAATATATACGTATATCTTTTTCGTGCCTTGCACGAAGCACCTGCGAGTTAGTAGGCGGGCGGCGAGTTGCAATTGGTGTAATTATTACACCTCGCTTCAAAACTGAAAGCTGGGATACGCGCGCATATGGCATGTAATTAGAGTTCACGCTATAATCAACTTCGCTAATATGGAATGCGGCGATTACAAATATTATTACTGGCGTTTATTACTGGCAGGGAATGGCATTAGGTCTTACCATTAATTGGTCATGTAGAAACGTGCCAAGTTCCTCAGGTACGTAAATTAACTAACAGTGGGTACGCGCACGGCATATGTGTAGAACTAAACGAAGATCCGACAGCAAGCCTCGGTGATTGATTGAATAAATGCTTAACGCGTAATAAGTTGCCGCTATTAAAACCTGCCGCGCTCCAAAAGTAGTGTCTGTTCATAACGGCGCGAAAGACTAGCTCTTCTTCAAGGTTAAGGTATTGCACGATGAATTTCCTTCGGATACATCATATGTGCATTCAAGTGATACATTCCATATCTCCATTGCAATCAGTGGTCCATGCGTTCGTGTTTTATGTGCCTTCAGACACATTAATTATAGTTAGCTAGCCTTAGAGAGAATGGCACTTTTTTTTTTCTCTCAAGAACACTGTATATACTTAACACGCATAACTGTATTTATAGTGTACACTTCCAGAGATTTCTTGTACAGTTGATGTTCAAGTAGGTCTACTACAGAGGGCTGTACTCTTTTTAACACACCAGGTGTAATACTTTTGAAGGTATGCAAGGAGTTTGGTCAGCAAAATGTACAACTCCGCTCGTCTATTAGTGGGCTTTCCTGGTTGTTAGCACTTGTGCAAGCCGGTCAAAAGTCGTCATATGGGGTGTCATGACTGGTTGCACTTAAAATGTCAAAAATCGATAATGCTGAAACACAGAGTGATGTGGAATAACATAAACATAGCTCTATAATGGGGTTTGTTTTGAAGGTATTACTCAGCAAAAGAAAAAAAGAAAACTAATTCTGGGTGCCTTAACAGCCATCTTGCACTAGTGAATCTATGCAGTGAGACAGAGAAAGGTGAACGAAAGACAAGGAGGTTGACCGAAGAAAATGTCTCATTGCCAACCCTGTATCTGAGAAGGGGTAAGGGGATGTGAATGATTGAAAGAGATCAAAAGGGACTGTAGTACAGCTACGAATTGATGAAAATAGTACTGTCCTTATACTGCACACCAACAATTATCATTGAACTCTTGTAATCTGTGATTCAGTACAATTTCTCTAAGAAAGCCCCGCCACGGTGGTCTAGAGGCTAAGGTACTCGGCTGCTGACCCGCACGTCGCGGGATCAAATCCTGGCTGCGGCGGCTGCATTTCCGATGGAGGCAGACATGTTGTAAGCCCGTGTGCTCAGATTTGGGTGCACGTTAACGAACCCCAGGTGATCTAAATTTCCGGAGCCCACTACTGGCGTCTCTCATAATCAAATGGTGGTTTCGGGATGTTAAACCCCACGAATCAATCAGTTTCTCTAAGAAACCGCAGCAGCACCATCATAGTGGTTCATGTCGAAGTCCAGGTAGACCAGCAGCCTAGAATTTAGTTTTCTGCTGATGTCGAGCTCGTATTGCATGTGACTAGACTGGTAGGAAATGCCCTTGACACAACGTATTTGTTCTCCAATCATTGAGTACTTCTCTAGTAGGTGTTATGTGTTGCATCAAAGCTGTGCAGCGACTTAATTCATCAGGGCATTTCATTTGAAGTTTTGTCATTCAATGCCAAGACAAATGCCACAGAACAGAGAAAATGTGATCAAGAAACTGGAAAGACTGCAATGGCTACATTTATAAGCTATTGCACTGGGTATCAGGCATAATTAACAACGAGTGATGGTGTTTTTATTGTGCACTAACAGTGTATAAAAAGTTTTACTCATTGGAGATACAGGAGGTAGTGAAAAGTAAAAGAACTGTGCTTTTGCTTGCACGGACGTAAAAAAAGTAAGAGATGAGTTTATAGCATAACTCTACTTTTTTTGCTGCATGTTATTTATCTCTTTTCCAGATACCCTTTCTTAATCCCAGCAACAATCGTGTTTTTTTTTTTTTTGTTTCTGAAGAGCCCTTCACATAAGCATCGGCAACTTTTAGCGGCTTGAAGAGATGGGCAAAACTGTAGATATGGTAAGTGTACATTCTTGGTTTTTATATTGCGTGACATGTTTAGCGCTAATGATTGATGAGTATAATGAGAGAAAAACATGAAAAACACTGCCTGTGTGATTGTGTTTTCTCTCGGTCCTCATATTTTTTTTACGTTTCAGTACAAACAGAAACTGATCGTGCATTGGTTATAACTTCTATGGTGTGCATATTCTTGTTCCAAACACCATCCATCTGAATGACTCAAGCCTGTAACTGTATGTGGCTGAGAATGTCACTATAACGAAGTACTCAGATCAATGGTACCTGTTCATACGAAAACTGGCATTTGGCAAAAAAAAAAAAAAAAAAATCATATGGACAGATGTGCATACTACCTTAACATCTCCAAGGTGAGCAATCTTTTAGTAACGAGCAATCGATTTATATTACCTGCAGTTGAAACATCACTTTCGAGTAACTCGCGCACTATGAATGCAACGAACCAGCCATTCCTAAGTTAATCTTTTTTTTTAATTACTCAGCCTCGGAACACATAAAAAATGTAGCAGGCCAGCTGCACTGTTTGACTTTCACTTGAATTAGATGAAATACTCGCATGTTAGAACGCAGGGTTGGCTCGTACCTGCGAAAGAAAAAAATACAGTGGACTCTCAGTAAACGGAACCTGAAGGGTCCGAAAAAGTATGTTTCATTTAATAAGAGTTTCGTATACTGAGAGATAAATAAGGGTGCAGAATAGGAGCCCAAAATCAAACATAGCAGAGGTGTTTGTTCCGTTTAAGCAGTAGTACCGTTCAACAGATTTCCGTTTACTGAGAGTCTACTGTAGAATATTTTGTACACAAATATAACAATGCTCTTTGCAAGACATTAAAGCTTTCAAATACATAGTGGGGATCATATATCGAAAAGAGCAGATGCTACTGGGTGCCAAGCTCTACTCCTTTCATATTGTACATTAAGGTTGTTTACAGTGACATGCTTTTTTAAAAAGCAGTGCATACAACAAAATAATGAAAATTTACGTTATGACAATGACTCACAACTTTTTTACTTGTATAACTCCCGCATCAGTCCATTAAATTGGAAGTGCTGTGTATTATAGTCATATCTGTTTCTACACATTTAGTAGATCTCTTGCTTTCAAATTTACAAGCACCTTACATTGCTAAGGCTGTGATGGCAACAAAAAATGAAAGAAAGAACGGAAGGTAGTTTACGTATGAGAAAATGTAGAGGGTGACTTTCTGCAGTTCAAAACATGTCCACTTGATTTTCATGTTTACTCCGCAGGCAAGGTCGGCAAAGTCAGAATCTGTCAAAGTCGTCGTCAGGTGTCGACCACTCAGCGTGCAGGAAATCGCTGATGGCCATGAAAGGCGAGGCCAGCTTTGCTTTTTTCTTTTTTTATTGCTTCAACATCAAGTGCTATTTTGAAGTGTGGGCCTCTTGGTAGTGTGTAGATGGACCGCTTTACCCAAACCACACGAATCGCGCATTAAGAAACACGTCAGCTCTGTGTTTCCCGTTTGACACATCCATTTTTATTGGCTGATGGATTTGGATTGTATGCAAGAGTAAAAATAAAGTTGGTATATTCAATGTTTAGTCTATGTTAGGAGAGCAGTAAAAGAAAACCGTGAAATGACTGCAATGGAAGACTGTTGTCAGCTAACTTCGATAAAAGTAAAGCAGGCAATGAGTGGCCAGATAAAGAATTAAAGTAGGAAAATCGTCTAAGGGGCTTGTTTCCTGTATATTAACTAATGAAATTGACAGGCAGTTAGGCTAAAGAATTGTCTGTCGGTCTTATCAGTTCATAAGATGTAGAATTTATTGTAATAACATTCAAGGGCATTGCACACCCAAATCTGATCTAAGAGACATACATCAGTACCGCAACTTATCACCTAGTAAAGATGTTAAGAGAAGTCTCGGATATCGTGTACTGCACAAGCTATATGAACACAAAAGTAATATTTACAGTAATTTCTTGATGTCTTAAGGTCTAGCTCCTTTCACATTAATTTACACAGAGATGCTTAATGGCATCAAAGCTGATGCCATTCTAGGCGTAGCACAGCGACAACTGTTTTGGCTGTCAAATGCCATCTGAAAAATACTCATTTAACTACTGCTTTACATCAATGACATTTTTTTTTCCTGACAAAATTGGCTAAAAGTACTGTCCATATTTCTTTTTCAGCTGTAATAAACTGTCCATTCTTGACAGTAGACGGTGCTGTACTTAAAAAGGCATTTATCACGCTGTCTCGTCCTTTTTCTCGCAGGATTGTTGACCTGTATCCGGACACCGGCGTAGTGACTATACGAAACTTTAAAGCAGGGGATGCCGATTCTGTGAAGCAATACACCTTTGATGCAGTCTACGATTGCAAGTAAGTCGCCCCCCTTTCCACCCATTTGTGCGGAGATTCACCGAGGTACTTTCGTACAATCTCAGCAATTGGAAACTTCCTAAACGAAATTGCTGTTTAACCTGCCTCTTATTTGGCCGGTTTCACATTTGGGTTTCACATTCAAGCGCCATTTTCAGTTAGTTAAGTTCCTTGTAAGTGGAACAGATATCCCTGGTCCCTTGGGGCTTTATTTCGTGAGATCCTGCTGCGGTTGATGTAGTAAAGACATCGCAAATTCGCATCTGTTACATTTTACCAGGACTTGTGCTTTGAAACACCGGTCCTGTTTTGCTCCGTCGTCAGGCACGTTCACTTTCGATATCTTGTGTTTTCCTTGCCGGCTGTTACATAAAAAAACTGTGATGTTTCGCACCTTTGGGGAAAAATTTAGATGCCTAAGCAACTCCAAAGACGAAGCAATTGGGGACCAGAGCGTACAAACCTTTATTTTTGCCAAAAGCTCAGATGCTCTGGCCCAGGAAATAATGGAAAATTTTTGGATGAAAAAAAAAAAGGGAGAGAGGCAAATCGTGTATAATGGACACATTTGTGGTTTCACATTTCTGAGTTAAACTTTTGTGTTTCATGGCTGGATTAGAAATGGCTTTGCTGTGCCTTTATGTTTGGCATGTAGCGACTAGGTGAGGCACTGCTGTTTGCACATGTGTGGTGCGACACACATATCTTCTTCTGTTCTCCAGTGAATATAATCAGTTGCAAGTCCCGCTCTTTCCTGGTGCCTCTTCATATTTCTGGTGACGCTTATGCATCCAAATTTTGCCTCGAAGTTATGTACCAACTACTAGCCTAGCAACACGTTCTATGGTTCCTACATGCCTGTCACTGCGGAAAATGGTCATGGAAAATATTCTGTCACACTGCCTTCACAAAAAGCAGTAAAATGGATCATTGTGTCTGACACTTCCTGGCAAGTGCTGTGCATACTTGCGCGTGTAGGCTTTCTGAAAGAATTCGAGCCACATGCGCCATATGTCTTTCGCCTCGGCCATGTATTCAAACCTCGATATAACGAACTCTGATATAAGAAGATATTTATTATAACGAAGTAAATGAAGAATAGTCTTGCAAAGAAGATATAGTAAAATATGCTTTTATAACGAATTTTTTGATATATAGAACATATATTCCTGTAAGATACAACTTTGTTATAATGAGGTTTAGTGTACTCATATTTCTGCCAATCTGACCAGAAAAACTGGCACATTTATTATAATCTGTGCATTATCACACCATCATCATTTTCTTGCGGTTTTGAAGACCAGTTTTAATAAATTGTTCTTGAGTGTTGTATTCTTCGAGATTGTCCGTTATTTTCTTGTGATTTCTAAAACATGACATATGAAACATAACAGCGAGGCTTTGTGGAATAATAGCAGCAGTATTTCGAGATCTAACCATTGAGACTCTCGATTGTGGAAGCCTGTGTCTGAAATGAAATTTTTTGCTTTGAACCTGCAGCTCGAAACAGATGGATCTCTACGATGAGACATTCAGGCCTTTGGTTGACTCTGTGCTCCTGGGATTCAATGGCACAATTTTTGCATATGGCCAGACTGGCACTGGGAAGACTTACACTATGGAAGGTGATGTACCAACATTCCCAGACCTCATTTTTATTTGTTGGTTTGGCAATTAGTTACCTATATGGAATAAGCTGTAAATTCAGTAAAGGTATTACTGCTATCTATGTACAGTAACATGCAGTGAAGGGTGAAAAATTAGTTACTTTCTAGGCAGAGCACATATTTGGCATAGTACATGAAGAAGTGAATGTGTGGTCTAGACTTTTTTAGACGACGTACTTATGTATGAACTGGTGGCTGCGATGTTATATTGTTTCATAACTCATTTCTGCAGGAATTCCGAACAACCCCGAGTGCCGTGGTGTCATTCCCAATTCCTTCGAGCACATCTTCAGCCATATTGCAAGATCTCATAATCAGCAGTACCTTGTCAGGGCTTCGTATCTAGAGATTTATCAGGTGAGGTTTTCAAAATATGTTCCCTAGAGATCTCCAACTCTTTTGTTGAGAGTAAAACACTGATTGATTGATGGATTGAAAACATCATTTCAGTTATCTTTTAGCAAGTGCTACTTTTACTGTTTTGCACACGAGAAGGTCAGAGAGTTGATCAACTGGTGCTATTCACTTACAGTAATCATTTAGCAACCCCTCCATCTGTTTCTACAGGCGAACTTCGAAGACTGGATTGATTGATTGATTGGCAGAATGTCAGCAATTCGTTAATGACCATTCTAGCAGCTGTTTTGTGCAGAAAGAGGTCAGAGACATGATTGATTGATTAATGCCAGCAATCCTTCAACAACCAATACATTTGCCGATTTGTGAAGGAGGAGATGAGAGAATTGATTGATTGATCGATTGTCAGCACTCCTTTAGCAACCACTACATCTACTACTTTATGCAGGAGGAGATCAGAGACTTGATCTCAAAGGACCAGTCAAAGCGGTTGGAACTGAAAGAGAGACCTGACACGGGAGTTTACGTTAAGGTGAGGTGATTGAATCATAACTCCAGCAGTCACTCATTGGTGGCAGTAAGTATGGCCGTATTTGCACTGGCCCAGCACGTGCTGCAGATCGTGACACAGCGTTGTTGTGCTTGTCGCTTTTGTGGTGCAGGACTTATCTTCATTTGTGTGCAAGAGCATCAAGGAGATTGAGCACGTCATGGCAGTTGGAAACCAGAATCGATCTGTAGGGTACGCACTTCTTGATTATTTACTGGAATGGCTTGGCAAGGTGGTTGATTCATTGCACGATTGGAAAAAAACACAAAACGAGCTTTTGTGCATTGTTGAAAATTGACTGTAGTTAACATTACAACACTAAAAGGAGCCCAAGTACAAAAACAGAGACATACAAGTTGTTCTGTTGTTTGGCTCCGGAGTCTGTTTTTTTTTTTTGTTCTGTTTTCATCACAGTTAAATGTGGTTTGCCTTAACTGACTTCTGTGGCTTCAACACTTTTCATTTTCTATGTGACCAAGATGTTTTTGCTGCGTACCTTTGCACTAGTACTAAATTTGAACGTTTGTGAAATTACAAATGTGAATGTTTGTATAAGTTCCAAGTATTCAGTGTACTTGCAGCATCTTTATGGTTAATTCTTCGCTTAAAGGGGCCCTGCAAAAATTTTTTAAGTAGCAATAGAATGCATTCTTCAAAGGAGCGTCTTGCCGTGAAAAGGCCGTGAAAATTATTATAATCTGTCCAGTTTGAGTAGAGTTACAAAGATTTGTTGCATGCTGCAGTTGCATTCTCCATTTCCTCGTCTCGACAAAAGTGCCGGAAGCAGAGTGGAGAGAGATGGCATGGGGAAAAAAAATACGTCACGCGCACCTCATGATGTGCACTTCTGCTTTTTTCTTTTCTCTGAAAACACAACTTTTCAGTGCAATCACGCGTGCACGCTTGGGCAAGTCGCGGCCTATCGTATAGGCCCAAGTAATGAACGAGCACGCCATGCTCGCTCAAATCAGCCAATGGCTGATAAAATAGCTGTGACGAGTGATTTTAGAGCTTGTAGCTTCCTTTGATGAGAGAATAGAAAGCAATTTTTGGTGAGTTTGATAACTAATTGTGAATTGCAGGCGATGTGCTGCGCTATCATATTTGGCTTGCATGTTCTCGGGAGCCCTCACTGCTGACCGGCAGTGTGTTTCTGCCCATGCTCACAAAGTGTTGCAGGTCCCCTTTAATGCCCACACACTGGCTTTAGCATTGTTATCACTCTGTACAGAGGCATTGGTTTCCCATTTTCCTCCATGGGGTAGGACACAGCTGTCATCAGAGAGGGGTAGGGGTGGCCAAGCTTCACTAAACGTCGAGCGTGTGGTACATAATATACGTCCGGCATTGTCGTGATGAAAATCTGGGAGCGTCTTGACTTGCGTAACTTCGCTACGATCCTCTCTGTTTACCAAACGGCTTAGTTGCAGCTAGAGGAACAGGCTTTGAACTTCATAGTACTGTAGGTCCCACATTAATCTTTTTCTGTTCCTACTTTACAGGGCTACAAACATGAACGTACACAGTTCAAGATCACACGCTATATTCATAATCACAGTGGAGCACAGCGACGTAAGCTTTTTTTATTACATCATAGAAGCTCTTTGCACGAACGCCGCTTCTGTGGCAGAAAGTGCGGTGAAGCTCGTGTACAAAAGCTCTGTGCCCAAAGCCCACGAATTTCATTTTATGTACTTATTTGCAGCTCGGACCGGATGGCAAGCACCACATCCGTGTGGGGAAGCTTAACCTCGTTGACTTGGCTGGCAGCGAGAGACAAGCCAAGACAGGAACATCTGTAAGTCACTAGCCAAACCTCATTATTCATGAGGCAATGAAATGCTCCCCAGTTTCGTAGTTATACATAGTAACTGTTGCAAGTTTTATGCTCAGTCGGAGCTGCCATATATCAGTGAGAGTGGGATTTAAAGATCAGCGCTAGGGTACAAGTACTATAACATGCCTGTCAAGAGAGTTTTCAAAGCTTTTGTTGTATTGTTTTTTCCGCTGCCCGCTATTTATTATACATGTTTTTTTATATTGTTCTGCATTTTCAACTACTAGTTTACATATGCACCTACAATTTTTGAGTGATCTTTAATAATACATATTTACCAATAATAATTATTAATCTACTGACTCTTCACTTAACCTCTTAACTTTAGTTATGAAGTTCTGCCTGTATATAAAGTTCTTTGCAATTAAGCACATTTATTACTGTTTTTTTTCTTGACTGAGTGAAATGTATTCTGCTTCTCACCAATACAGTTAAACCCCTTTATAAGAGGCTTGCTCCAGGCACAAATTATTGTCTTTTTTATGAGACGTCTCTCATAAGCAGGACACCTCGTACGCATTTTCTTAGCTACCCATGTTCCACTGTAGGCGCACTGGCGTCTATTATAACCATTTGTCTCTTATATCAGTGTCTTTTATAAAGGCGATCGATTGTACCTGCTTAGAGTGAATACATCCTCTCAGTGATTATAAAAATTATGTTGTCATGTATAGCGCAACATTGTTCTAACAATGTGTGGTTATTACGGGCCCTTTATAGCATACAATTTTAAGTACCACTCACATTCAAATTGTCTTCTTAAAGTGAGCTCCTTACTTCTCATGCTTTCTTTTGTGCCAGGGTGATCGGCAAAAAGAAGCCATCAAGATCAACCTCTCGCTTTCTGCGCTGGGCAACGTCATATCAGCGCTAGTGGATGGGAAAAGTTCCCACGTGCCTTACAGGGACTCAAAACTTACGCGGCTACTACAAGGTCAGTGCCCAAACCGCTGCCACAGCGCTTGCAAAATTGGTGTTCATCAGAGGAGGTTTTACCTAGGGAGCTCATGCTAAAATTTGTAATCTCATTATTTCGTCACTATACTTGATTTTACCCTTAAAGGTCGACTGCTGAAAAGCAGTGCAGCAAGAAAGCTGGTTATGAAATTACACTAATACCTCGTAATAACAAAGTCTCACCTTTTATAAAAAAAGTTCGATATATTCAAAAATGCATTGTAAACAACCATTGTGTCTTTGAACAACCTATTTTTCACTTAGATTGATAATTTGTTATGTCCACGTTCATTATACTATTTAAGTCTGAGGTATCAAATTGTAATGGACCATTGTAAGCAGTCAGGAAGCAGACTGTAATGACATCAGTAGACAAATAGAAAAATGAAAATTAGAAAAATGGAGATAGCAGTAAATGTCACAAACCAAAAGGAAACAGTCTATGCTAATGAGGAAATGGGATTTCTAATGCCTAATATAAAAACTGTGCAATAATTTTAAGTATCGGAAAAATTTTGCTTGGTGACAGTGGTATGGAAACTTTTATACTGGTTATCCGCCGAATAAACTTGGTTGTGCATAGCGAGTTTTACATGGTCAACAATGGAAGAAGCAGATTTTTTTTTTTTTAATTTTAGACTTACAGATTCTTTTGTGGAAATCACCAATAATGTGTGGAAATCACCAAAGTGTGCATTAATCTGCAAATTAGGTGGTTGAATTTTTTTATGTCAACTTTTAAAGCTGTTATTTTGAACGTTGAAGAGCCTGTAGAATCCAGTATTCTTTAAATTTTGATTGTTCATAAAATTTAGTTTGGGATTTTCTAGGAGATAGCGATTTCATTATTCACATATATTAATGGCAAAATTGATTAATGCTAACGGCTACTCTTTAATAGGCCTGTCCAAATAGTAAACTTTAGGTTCAGAATGAATTCGATGTGAATAGTGATCTGTTCGAATAATTTTGAATAGAGTTTGAATAATATATGTCACATTATTTTTAAGAAGTCAGCATTCTGCAGAATATATATATTTTTAATTGAAGCAAGGCATGTTCAAATGTAATTCTTTTTGGTTCAAAAGAAGTGGAAGCAACTTAGAATAGTAACAGGATTTGACTTTCAGTTGAATTCAAATGATAACTAGTGAAATATGTCACATTTTAAAACTTACTACTTGGAGGACATAAGCCAGTATAATAAGCTTTTAAACACGAAAACATGGTCAATTGATGTGAAGGTAATGTGTTCATATAACTTTGAAGTGGCGTTTCATGGCAGAGCGAACTTTCTCTGGATATGTGTAATCGCGGTATAGCATCCATTCACTGCAATGAAACCGCCTTTACAGGAGGGTTACGTGCAAATTCATGTAGTGTTATTGGTTCATTTCAGATACTTCTAAATTTCCCATGACTTAAATTTGAATATTCGAAGTGCTCAATATTCGCACAAGCCTACTCTTCAAATTACCATCATGGCAGCTCACAGCTCATGCAGCATGCAATAACCAGCGTGAACCAATGTGTTAATGTAGTATTGCGATTTCTTGTCATCTTTCAATGACAGACTCACTTGGTGGCAATGCCAAAACCATCATGGTTGCCAACGTCGGCCCAGCGAGCTACAACTACGAGGAGACGCTGACGACGCTAAGGTATAAACAGAGCGCTTTTTGTTGGTCTAGAACCTGAGGTGAATGTTTATAAGGACACGTTGAGGACCTTCGGGAACTTCCAATGCGTCCTCTTCGCTTTATCGCCTACACACAGGTACGCCAACCGCGCGAAGAACATCAGAAACAGGCCGCGTGTGAACGAGGACCCCAAGGATGCATTGCTGAGGGAATTCCAGCAGGAGATATCAAGGTGCGTTATCAGCTGCATTTTACAGAGAAAGCTGTATAGGGGATTACTACAAGGGCCGATTCTGGTGCCCCAGTTGTCTGCCGCCAGTGTTCATAACCACTGTCGCGCGAAGCAAGAAAAAAAAATTAACTCAATAAAAAATCTTGAGCTGCCATGGGGAATTGAACTCATCTCCTCTGTGTGGTAGCCAAGTACCCTACCACTGAGCTGACCCTATGCGGGCTTTACGTCGGGTAAGGAATCGTATTACCATGTCTGATAAAGAATTTTCAAACAGTAAAGTAACAACCAGATGTCACACGATGTCAATCGATTAATGGGTGGGTCGTTGAGTGCTCCATCCCACTACGTAAGCCTCCAGCATAATTCTTCATAGTCGTCAGTCACAGCCTCAACAGTGCGCACATAATGCCTCACAAGTGTGTCACAGGCACCATGCTTTTTTGAAGAGTGACAAATAATGGCATAGTGAACGCTTCTGTACCGCAGAAAAATTGCGATTCTTTATGGGGTGGCAGGTGCCATGCAAGTGTGCTTGTAGCAGTTGCCCCAAGAGTGTTCAAACAAGGCTCTGAAAAGGCTGCTCTTCCAGCTTTCGCTCCGACTGTGCTGAGGTTTCCCCACAGGCCTGGCTTTTTTTTTTTTTTTTTAGGAGTGTTGCACTTAAGGGGCTGGGCTTGTCATCCATGCACTGTCTCATTTCGTATGGTCATGCAGGCCTAAACAATTCTACCAATGCTAAAAACCAACCAAAAAACGAAGGAAAACTTAAAAGAGTTTAAAATAATATAAATTACAGCAGAAATGCCAAATTAATATGTAGCAATAATTTACCGAAATTTGCAAAAACTGCTCTAAAACATTCTAGTGATACTTGCACTGCGCAAGGGAGCTCTCAGTCATGGTCGCTCCATTTTGATGGTGACAGGATGAAACAATGATCGAAATTAAGCAGGTTAGTACGCTATGGCTTTCCTTATAGTCTTTGAAATGATTCATTTTTACAGTAGGTACTTCCATGGCCGCTGGATGAAAAAGCGCATGGTACGGCCTGCCGCGTGGAGCGGATTTCTATGGGAGAGTGCGTGTCAGCCGTAGGGTCAGTTGCGACCGCTGCAGCGCGACAAGGCAGGGACGGGGAAACGAGTGGCGGCGGCTCCCTCGGGGCCGCAGCCGCAGCAAATTAGCTGGTGTTTGTCACAACAATGATCCACTCAGTTGTTCTAATCAGTGTTTTCTTAATCTCATTTATCACAGCGATGACATATCGCATATTTAGTAGACTACGAGGCATTATTTAGTTCAAAAGCCAATCGATTTTTCCTGTGCGCACCGAGCACCTGAATTTTTTTTTTTTTTTTCCAGAGCCAGCTTCTTGCTCTGAGTCTGACTAGAAAAATTCACAATTCATATAGCTGAATGACATGATACTCAATTCGTTACAATGTCATTGTTCTAATTATGAAGATGTCTTAAACTAACATACCTTGGTTATTGTGACGTTTATTCAGCACTTTCACGTTTTCTTAGCTGGAATGCTTGACAACTAGTTTTTGGACACTTTACGACAGATATTCACAGTTTTTATATTCTGGAAGAGTATCCAAGTAACATAATTTGAATATTTTTTATGTTATCCAGTACACGGTAGTACGTATGTATATATATATATATATATATATATATATATATATATATATATATATATATATATATATATATATTGTTACGGTTAAAGTCGAAGGGTGTTTATTAGCAGGGCGAAGTTGATGGTTCGGTAGTAATGGCGTCAGTATCTGCACCAGTTCACGTCTTCCTCCTCTTCTCTTCTCTCGGCTAATACCCCTTGCATTTCCCCGCTCCCAGACAAAGCCCGCTGGGCGAGTATGAATCATTCTGAATGTTGAGGGTGAAACCGTTTAAGGCGGGCGACATGTACCAACTGGGTCCAGTTTGACCGACGGCCAGCTGATGTCAGCCGTGCTACCACGTATGTCAAATCGCTCCAGCGATCAACAATAAGAATGGGCCACTCTACTGAGGTAAAAACGTTTTGCATAGGCCCCATTTACGTTGTGGCGTCCACAACCACACAAAGTCTCCTTTGCAGTATGCTACAGACTGATGGCGGCTGTCATAGCTTTCCTTTGATCGGTGTTGCGAAGCCACAGTACAAAGACGAGCAAATACGCCGGGCTTCTTCGGCTAGGCAAAGTGTCCTGGAGCCAGACTAGTCGCTATGGAAGTCAAATGGTAGAATAGTATCGATGCAGCTTAACGGTGAACGTGCGTAAAGGAGGTAAAAAGGACTGTAATTGGTTGTCTCATGTTTGGCCGTGTTATACGCATAAGTAATGAAGGGGAGAACGTCGTCCCAGTCCTTGTGGTCAGACGATACGTACATGCCAACATGTTAGTCAGAGTTCTGTTCGTATGTTCTACCAGCCCATTCGTCTGAGGGTGATACAGGAATGAATGGCGGAACTGTGAATTGCATAGACGAACCAGTTCTTCGACGGCATCCGCAACGAACTGACGACCACGATCAGTAATGATCACTCTGGGAGGGCCGTGCCGAAGAATCATGAATCTAAGCAAAAACATGACCACGCACGCCGCTGTCGAGGATGGTATCGCTGCAGTTTCTGCTTAACGAGTTAGATGGTCGACGCACACCATCACTCATCGATTGTTGTTAGCCGAGAGTAGGAAATGGGCCCACAAGGTCGATACCAACTTGATCAAATGGTAGATGAGGAAGGTAGCAGGGGATGGAGAAGACCCGGCGGAGGAGTCGTAGGCTGCTTTTAGCGTTGACATTGTTCGCAACTTGCGACATAGTGCTTGACTGTGTTCCGCATTCTGGGCCAGTAAAAGCGCTCTTGTGTCCTATTCAAAGTTCTGATGAACCCCAAGTGACCAGCTGTCGCATCCTTGTGCATGGCCTTCAGTATGTCAAATTGTAGGCTCTGTGGTACGACTAGAAGGAAGCGTGCGCCTTTAGCCGAATAATTTGTCTTGTATAGAAGGCCGTCACGGACACAAAAGCGGCCGTTGGCTTGAGGACGCGATGCCGCGGCAAGTAATGGCTCCCAGCTAATATCAGCCTCTCGTTCTTTCTTGAAAGTACTTAAGTCTGGTAATGTGGAAGAAATGGAGGCAAAACAGTCGTCAAAACTGTCTTCTTGACACTCAGTCGTCTTCAGGGGAAGGCGAAAGATACAGTCGGCATCTACGTGGCGGCGTCCAGACTTGGACGAGATGACGAAGTCGTACTCCTAAAGTCGAAAAGCCCAACTTGCCAGCCGACCATTCGGGTCACAAAATTCACCAGCCAGCATAAAGCGTGATAATTGGATCCATCCTGCTTTCTTACTAAGATCACAGGCGCTGCCCACGGACTAGATGACTCTTGGACAATACCTTTACGCAACATATCGGTTACCTGTTCAGCTATCACTGCCCTCTCTGTCGACAACACGCGGTAAGGTTTTTGACGAACGGGGTGTGCAGATCCGGTGTCAATTCTGTGATGAGCATGAGAACGCGGTAGTGATGCCTCCGTGTCACCTTGTGTGAAATCGAACACCGAAAGATGTGTCATAAGGACACGTGCAAGAGCGTGACGTTCATGCGAGGGTAGCGACTTGCTGATCATTCTTAAGATCTCTTCTTCAGAACTGTTTCTCTGGGGTTCGCTTGTTTCAGACTGTTGCTCTTCGCCTAAAACAGTGATAGTGCCGTACGTGATTTCGTCTAACTCGGCAAGCTTCATATCACGTGGAAGAACAACAGGCACCGAAGAACAATTGAAAGCCCACAAGCTTGAGGCACCGTTCACAACTGTCACGAGAGAACGAGGCATTTTTCTTCACGTACATTACAGGTACAAAAATGTACCTAGTACATTTTTCTTCACGCAACCCGTCGCTAGTGGTTGAATTTGCGCGTCAAACGATGGAAGGTTGGCAACAGCAAGGTTAACAGGAACACACGATAAAGACCACGGTACTAAAAGAGAATCATTCGACACGACAAAACAGTTTTTCTCCGATAAAGATGTCTCAGCAAGCGTAGACAAAAGCACGTTATTCACCGTAATTTCGCCTGTGCCACAATTAACGGAAGCACCACAATCCTGAAGAAAATTGATCCCAAGAATCACATCATGAGTGCACCGTGGTAATACCAAAAATTCCGTGACAAGATATTCAGCACAAAACAAAACACTAGCAACACAAATACCTAGAGGAACGAGGCACTCTCCCCTGACACCACGAAACGTCACACCACCATTCCACGGGAACATAACCTTCCGACCAAGTCTTTCCTTGAATGTGGCACTCATGACGGAAACCGTAGCACCAGTATCCACTAACACAGTTGCAGGCACACTATCAATTAACACGCACATTTTGTTTTGGGACATCATAATAGGAAGAGGAGCAGTTTGCAGAGACGGAGACTGGCCGGCGACCTTACCTCCATCGGCCACGCCGGCTAGTTTCCCGATAAAGGCGGTGGTGTAGAACGTCGCCGTGGGGATGGTGAACGGCGTGAGCGACTGGTTAGTGACGTCAGGCTGCGGCCTGATGCTGGCGAGTCACTCCTCCTGTTAAAATGGCGGCAGGAATTCCTGGGTGGCGAGTCTATAGCGTTTGTTGCGCGATGTTCTGCCAGCCAATGATCATCGTTGAAGCCTTCAAAGTTAGGCCAAGTCGGTGGTGGGCCATATTTCGTCTGGCGGTGACGGCGACAAAAATGAGAGATGTGTCCTGTCGCACCGCAGCTGTAGCAAACAGGTGAAGGGTGACCGACTTTGTAGACTTCGGGATAAGCCGCCCTTGGACTCTGCGAGTAGTAGATACGATTTTCCAAGTGCCGTTTCATCGCCGTACCCCGATAAGCGCGTTGGTCATGCGTCACGTCATCAGGAAACGTATGGTGGTGCTGTTGTAGAGGATCGGTTTGACTGTCTGCAAAGCCTGGCATGGCTGACAGCGAAGAAACCACCGGTGCAGCTTCGTGAGGTTGATTAAAAACGCAACCAAGCTTCTCGGCTTTCACGGCGTTCATTGATTTGCTGTGTCGCTCGAGTTCCTCACGGACGATTTGCCTCACAGTGGTAGCAAGGTCCCAATGGATACTGCAACTGTCCTTAATGCTTGCAACCGTCGCAACATTCGCCAACCTGCCGAACTTTGGCATAATACGGTGTAGCTTCAAGGTCTCAAACGTGCGGCAATGACGAATCACGTCAGCTACCGAATTGAGGCTCTCCTTGCCAATCAAGTAGGTATACACGTCTTCGGCAATGCCTTTCAAAATATGCCCGACTTTGTCCTCTTCGGACATACGAGGATTCACCGTCTTACACAGCTTCAGGACTCGTCACTCTGATATGGAACACATTATTAGTTTAGTATCATTTCATTCATCAAAGTCCTCACTGCTTTTTAGTGTTGTAGCAGCAATCATTGCAAAAGTGAAGGTATGACTGTGCTTTGCTGTCAGGTTCACTGTCATGAAGGTGACACTACATGGCTCTATTATATAATTGTTCCTTCTGTTCTGCATTCATTTTTCTTAATTTTTTTGCATATGCTGCACATGAAAATAGCCTTGGCACTATTAGAGAAGGGATGTATGCTTATAGGACATATTTCTTGGCTTGAGGGTGATGTGCAGCTGTTTGACTTGTTTTAATTATTTTGTAACTTAAGGACTGCAGTTAGCATTCAGGCACTGTCAGTCTGTCTTCTGAAAGTACTACATAAACCTTATAGTTCAAATTAGGGGGCGCGGCAGCTGATGTGGTGTTACAATAGAAACATCACATTTCCTGCATGAAAACTGCTTCTGTTGCAGCACAACCGACTGTTTTGATGGAAGGTGCTGTGGAAGTAAAATAGAAACAGGAGTTGCTAATATAAATACAGATGCTATTAGATTTCTTTCATTTCTTTACATAAATGCTTTGCAACAGGTTAAAGGCCCAACTGGCAGCTCGAGACGTCAAAAAGAAAAAGAAACGACCCTCGTCCAAGGAGGTGTCACTCGGAGCAGACGACTTGACCGACGGCGACGCGGACGACGATCGTGCCACGTCACCGTCGTCCATGCAGCTAACGCTGGACGAGGAAAGGGTGGCCATCTTGAATGATCACAGCCTTATAGCAGAGGCAAGCTTTCATTCACTGCCTCACTATTATTTCACAGCAAAGCTGTCTCATTTTTATCTTGACGACAGCGAAATGGAATATGAAGTTCAAAAAGGCAGAAAAAAAGTACAATGGCTCGTAATAAATTAAAAAGACTCCGCTGAAAACTAGTGTTTTGGCAAAATGAACCATAACATTTTTTTTTTTATTCTTTATTGTATCATTATTCTAGACAGAAATCAGCTGCTATGCTGCACGTTGACATGGCAACTAATTAGTGCTTTTCCAGTTGCATCACCAACAATGCCTGTTCTTTGAGTTGTTACATTAGGGTTACCCAGAGTATAAAAAAATATTAATGATAACTAACAGACAATGATTCCAAGGAAAGCATAGGGAATGTTAGTCCGCTATACTTTCCTTGGTATCATTGTCTGATGGTTCCTATTACTATTGTGCCTAACAAAGAAAATGAACCTTTAACTTTACGCTTCTTTCCTTCATTTATAGCGAAGGTCTGGCTCTGGCAGACTTGATGCCTTGAGATTGTGTACGAGGGATTGTAAGTCAGCTGCCAGATTGTAATAAGATCACGGGCTACATGATGCCAACAGGCAAAAAATATAACGTCCCATACACGTTGTATTGGCTGTGCTGACCGACGCTCCTACAATTAAATGCGCATATACAGGGCGTCCCAGCTGTCACGCAGCGTAATTAAAAGAAAGAGGAACGGCGTTATGCAAAGCAAACTTAGTGCATATTGTTCCCGGTGTACTGTAGTAGCCGCTACAAATTTGTTTAATCAATGACAAATAATTTATTAGTCATAATTATATTCGTAACTCAAAAAGTACTTGCCTGATTATCAAAGCGTCAATAAGGCAGATGTGCACATGTTGAAACGACATCTGTCTGTGCTACTTTCAACAACGTACCAATTGTGCGCTTCTCTTTACCTGTGAATAAAGAAGGCCCGCGAAATAAAAAAAATAACATGTGACTAGACCTCTGCGCCCATCATAAAAAAGCGCCCTCAAACAAGCTCCTTTGAGATAGCCAGTAGCAATGAAGGAAATTTAGAAAAAAAAACATACTGCTTGCGCTATATTACACAGCCAGGCTGTAATCACTCAGAACAGTGATCCTGCGGCGTTATCAATGGGGACAGTAGCTGACCAAGAGATATGACTGGCGATAGCGACAATCAAGCCGAAGGAATCACTGCAAAACTGCTACACACGCTGTTGGCACTTCACCTGTACCCTTGCCAATGTGCGAAACGCTGTCTCCGGCAATGGAAAAGAGGCAAAGCGACTTACAGTAACATTATTTGAGGGCGCTGCTTTCTTTTGCGAGTGTGAGCAGTCACGTGATATGTTTCATATTTCGCGGGCTTTCTTTATTCACACAAAAAAAAAGAGCACGCAATCAATATGTTGTTAGAAGTAGCACAGGCAGATATCGAATATCAGTTCAACATGCACACATTTGCCTCATTGACATCTTCATAATTAGGCAAGTACTTTTCAAATTACAATGTTGACTAATTAGTTGATGGTCATTAATTAAAAAATTACTAGCAAGTACTTCAGTACGCTGGGAACAATATGCCCCAGGCTTGCTTCGCATAACGCCGTTCCTCTTTTTTATATCGTGCTGCGTGATAACTGGGACGCCCTGAATACCCCACAAAGTAGATGGGTGCGCAACCGTCGCTGTCGCTCAGTTGATAGAGCATCAGACGCGTTATTCAAAGGGCACAGGAAGCGGTCCTCTGCTGACGGCAATTTACCTTTTCGTCCACTTTTCTTTCCTCACATGTTTCATTACAATTACTTCTAATAACATTTCCCATGATTTCCTTGCCATCATTGTCTGTTCTCATAAGCATTGTTCTAGCAAAGGGAAACAAGCCCTTAAATTTACACTATTTTTTTAGAGTGGAAAAGTAATGCTGTACACGGTGAAAAATTGGAATGGGGTGTCGCAAGGGGCGAGCTGGACAACTTAACTCGGTGGATGATGACACCAATCGCGTTGCCTCACAGGAGCGGGAACGCCTGTTGGGCGAGGTTCAAAAGCGGCAGGAGCAGCTGCTACGGGAGCAGGAGGCGGCCGACAAGCTGGCCCTGAAGGTTCGGGCGATGGAGAGCAAGCTCCTGTCAGGCGACAAGAACATCGTCGACCACACCAACGAGCAGCAGAGGGCCCTCGAGCAGAGGCGCCAGGAGATCGCCGAGCAAAAGGTGGCAACACTCGCCCATTGTAAAGACTCATGAGCATGCGCTGATAGGAGAAGAGAACGGATACTGACCAAGAGGGGTTGCTGATAGTGACACATATTAGGCTTGTCAACAAAGCTTCTGCACAGAAATTAACATGCCTAATACCCATTGCTAAGGCCTAAACTCCTCGTGTGCTATTGCCACTCTTTGCTTGTGACAAGCTGCATTCGCATGGGTATTTCACCACTTTCTTAATGATTTTTGACAAGCACAGGTCATCAGAGCATGTTTTCTTAACTTGCATATACATACATATACTATAAATGAATAATTATGTATTGCCATATAATTGCGAGGTAAGCTTTCTGTTTTAAGCAAGTTACAGGAATTTCGTGCTATCAAGATTGACTTTTTAAAGGGCAACAGCTTTTTATCACCACCACTTCTTTTTCTTGTGATGTGCTGTACTTCCAAATGATAAAAGAAATGAACATTAATAAAAAAAGGAAGTTACACATGCATTATGTACCTATGTGGAATGCAAGAAGAGCAAGTGATGAACAATGATCATAACTGCATATTTTCTTCATTGCCTCTTTCGAAATTCTGATTGGAGGACGGCCTTATCAATAATAGCTGGGGCTTTACGTCTCAAAACAACGACACGATCATGAGAGATGTCGTAATGGAGGGCTCAGGAAATTTCAGTCATCTGGTTTTTTTTTTTTTTTTTTTTTTTACGTGCACTCAAATTTAAGCACACAAGCACTTTCACCTTCATCAAAAATGCAGCCACAGCGGCCGTGATTCGATCCCTCGACCTCCAGGTCTGCCGTTGAGCATTATGACTGCTAGACAACCTTGGTGGGTCTGCCTTCTCATTAAAACTCGTATCTTGAAGGAAGACTGTTTTTTTCACAACCCATTGTGTGTCAGGACAACGAACACTCTCCCAAAGTGAATTGCCTTGATATTAGCATGTGGTTGTGAGAGTGAAAAATGTGCCAGCCAATCTAATCAGGATAAAACTTTCTATCAGGCAAATTAGTGTTCAGTAAAACAAAGACCTATCACAGTACTACAGCATCACGCACAGTCATTATTAATCAAAAATCTGATCTTCGAATGAAATGTGTCAGTTAGCTGCTGGTACGTTTTGGTGCAGTTGTTGGTGGTTTCGTACATTCCTGAATGGGCTTTACTTTCCACAACACACACGAATTCTGATTAAAACAATTGAAAATATTGAACAATGTTTTGTTATATTAAGGTGCACCTTATTTAAAGTGATAACGTGTGTAACTATCTTGGTTGGTGAAAGCCGGTCTTATTGATAAGTCAAAACTACGCCTTGGTTCTGGCGTGGGACCTTTCGGAATTCAGTTTTGATTAAAACTCGTCGGCTTCATTTCCAACGTGCAGAGGCGTGAACGGGAAATGCAGCAGCAGCTCGAAATGCAAGAGGAAGGCACCTCAGAGATAAAAGAGACGTATACGTCACTCCAGCAGGAGGTCGACATCAAGACGAAAAAGCTCAGAAAGGTTCGAATTTCTTTCAACCAACTTCAGGCTCTTAATGTGCAACTAATATCCTGACCCTGCATACTTCTTCTTTCTCCTCGCTACCAAAAACGAAATGGCGCAGCTGTTTGCAAAGCTACAGTCAGTGAAGACCGAAATTCAGGACCTCCAGGAGGAGCACTCGAAAGAACGCCGCGACCTCGAACAGACTCAAAACGAACTTACCAAGGAACTCAAGCTCAAGTGAGTCACGCTTGGGTGCTCATGTCAGCAGCGAATCATTTATTAGAGAAACAATCACCCACAATGTCACAGATCTAGCCACAGTAAACATTAAAAAAATGTACAAATTGTGTTGTATGCACCAAAAAGCCATAATATACTTTGCACAATCATAGACACCCACCAGAAAAAAGACTCTGCTACAATTTTTTCTGGATATTATTAATTTGTTGCAATGACTCTGAGAAATCAAAGCAAACTGTATTTTTTCACACACATTCCTGCACGCTATCTGCAGATACCTCATCATCGAAAACTTCATTCCACCTGAAGAGAAAGTGAAGATTCTTTCGCGAGTCGTCTACGACGAAGATGAAGATCAGTGGGCCTTGCTGCCGCTGTCCGAAGTTCCGGGGTATGTCTCTACACCTTTTTTTTTTTTTTAAGTTGGCAGTTGTTTACTTACTTATGCACTTATCGAATCTCCGTTTCTGAACATGGAAACACAAGCATGAGTAGCTGCTTTTAGAATACAGATTTAACGGCGTGCCAGCTGTAGCTATCCTAATTGCATGTTATATAGTAATCTCACACACTCACTGCACTGTCATCGCAGCTAACAGACATAAAGCTAGCTAATTAAATAAGATAGAGTAGTAAAAAGAAATCTAGAATTCAGTTGACCATTTGTTCTAATGCAGCACGTTTTCAGACCTTTTCTTTTTCTGTACAGGCCTTCCAAAATGCACCGCACACTATTAAAAGAGTAGCATTTAACTTCACCTTTGTTCATTGAGGCTCTCTCTGCAAAGCTAATGAAAGTGAAATGCTTTATCAGTTGCATGAACAGGAAGTTAAATCGATCAAGAGGCCCATTTTGGTTAGACCCTACAATAAAAAGTCAACGAAAGCATTGCGAAATTCACGGTTTTTGAATGAAGTACAGTGATTTCGAGACCAAAGAAAATAACGCAAATGGGAAAAAGACAGCTTGGTGATGCAAACGCACAATCTCCGCACCATGCATGCAGCGTAGTATCGGTCATGCTATGGCAGCGGCGGCTACCTTGTCCACTTTCATGGTCAATTTATATATCTGTTACTCTAACTGTGGTAGCCAGTGCCCTTGGTAGCTACAGCAGCAAATGTCCATTTACGAAAGCATCAAGGCACGTGTGCCTGTTTTTCAGGGCTATGGAGCCATTGAGACCACCTTCGGCCAAGTCAAGCCTCAAGTCAAAGGTACGACATTTCCTTTTTTTGAGGGGTGCTTGACACTCTCTTTCAGAGAAAGTAGTCTGCGATGATATTGACAGCAAATCAAGCCATCTAATGTAAACACTGGTACTATACACAAACAATAAAACAGTTAATATACACGAACAATAGAAGAGACGACCAGAAAAAAAGAAGCACTTTTCGTGCTTGCTTTCGTGCAGCCTACTTTTATTTGGGGGTAGCAGGTTATTGTAGCTGAGCATAGATTACTGTTCACTCTAAATTCACTCACTTGCTTTGCCATTGCTCTAGCACTCACAGAGGCCATTTCTGGTGACAATGTCTGCTGATCTCGATGAGAAAAGCCATACCTTCAGAGCAGGCGGTTCTACAATGCCAGTCCTAGGTGGCGCTGAAGTTAATCAAGGCATTGCTGTGTTTTTGCATGGCAGTGGCCTTTAGAGAGACTGTAACTCTGTTATTCCATACTTACCGATATTTTTCTCCTCTTTGCGTCCTTTTTTTCTTATCTCTCCGTAGGACGGCAAACCGGAAGTTATTTCAACAGTCAGCCCCCCTGCCTATATCTATTTGCCTCTTTTGTCTTTACATTAATATGCTCGCAAATTGCAGTGAAGTTTTGTGTTGCCTCTCTCTCTTGGTAAAAGCATACAATGCCGAGACATGCTCTCACATTCAAAAGTAAAACAATGCTTGGCGATATTTGCCTCTCTTGCACATTGTGTGACGAGAGGCGTCGATTTGAGAGCGAGCTCGGCTTATTGCGTGGCAACAAACAATGCTGCAGGGCGAGCACATCCTACAGGTGGAACTGGACATGCCCGTGCGAACGACACGAGACTACAATGCCCCTGCCATGTCGCCACACCTCAAGGCCGTCCTGGACGATGCCCTGAGAGAAGAGGAAGACCTCGACATCGATGCCAGGCGAGTGAGGCCGCAAGCTCGAGAAAGTGAATGCCCCCCTTCTGGTACTCAACGTCTCTTTTTGTTCAAAACCTGCTGGGCTGACCTTATGCATCTATCTATATGTGCATGTACAGCCGTCAGCACCTTTAACACGAACGCTCCGCCGCGTGTCCTGCAGCAGTTTGATTGACGCAGGCGCCACGTACGATTGGGTTCTGTTGCCAAGTTGCTAACATACATGCCGACATACTATCCAAACCTACCGAAGTATTATCTCGGCAAAAGCGCCCAGCGCTTCGTGGCTGGCATCAATCAGACTAGCCCTGGCCATGCATTGAAGTGTTCTTGTTAAAGGTGCTGACGACTGTACAGTCAGCGTTCAAAGTTTAGAACCAGGAGACACTGCCTACTCCTTCACAGCCTTCAGTTTAGATCTTCAGCCTGTTATAAAATGCCTCAACATGTATTGCGCAGTTCAACTGAACACAGTAACAAGTCGCTGAGAAATTTAAAGATTTCTCAGATCTAGTGGTGTCTAAACTTTCGTAACTTACTGTACGAATGCTGCCCCCTTAAATTTTTCCTTGGATCTCTATGCACCTCATTTTGCAACTCACAGCAATGTAATGCGCTTCCTTGCTTCTGTTTGTAATGTCAGGCATGCCAACATTGTGAAAGTCACTGTTCGTGGTCATAAAATGACACATGTTTAGGTTTGCCTATGCGTGCATGTACAACTAAATTTGTCAACTAAGCAAGAATGCTTTCGTCAGCTTAACTAGTACGTATGTGTTTACTATAATATTAGGCTTCTGTTAATAGTCAATTTTCGGTTCAATGCAAATAGTGATTTTGGTCGAATAATACCTAATCAAATTCGAGTAGTATATACACTCGGACCTCATCATACACATCTTACACAAAAATGAGTTCGTTGTATCTGAAAGTTCGTTATAAAGGTTTATTCCTAACACTATATCTATTTCAAGACTAATCTTTATTCACTTCATTGTAACCAATACTTCGTTATATATGGGTTCGTTATATCAAAGCTTGAGTGTATCACATATTATAAAGGAAAGTGAGCATATTTGCCATGACCTAACGAATGTGCACAGTATTTTTTTTTAATTAAAACAAGTCCTGAGCAAATGCTATTTTTTCGGAGGAAGTGGAAACGGCTTTGAATAGTAGCAGGATTTGACTTTCGGTAGAATTCCAGTGATAACCTGTAAAATATGTCACGTTTTAAAATGTACTATAATCAAGAGCATATAGGCTGGTATAAAATGCTTTTAGAGTTCAATAAATTATGAATCATGCGAGGTTATTATGTTGTAAATTGAGCTTTGCGAAATTTTCTTGAATAGGTGTTTTCACGGTTTCACACCTCTTCACTGCAGTGAAACTACCTTTACAGTGTGTCACATGTGAAGTGATATACATTTAAATAGATGTTTTCACGGCTTAGCACGCCTCCGCGCTGGTGAAACCAGCTTTACAGGGGCTACATGCAGACTAATATACATCTATTCATTCATTTCAAATACTTTGAAATATTCACTAATTTAAATTCGAATTGACACGGATTCAAATACTGCAATATTCATTCAAATATTCGAAACATTCGCATATTCGCACAAGCCTATATAATATGCAGGGCCAATAAAACTACAATCCTTTGTGTAGCTGTTCTACGCATTGTTATGACTATCAAGGCTTTGCCTTTCTGGAGAAACTTCTACATTTTAGTTTTTTGCCCACACTGACTAAACACAAGTTTCCAGAACTTTTCATCTCAAGTGATCTGGTAGTGTTAATAAGTTCAGTGTAATCCTCCGTTAAGTGATGCATAATGACGTAGGCCCCAGCAGATGCTGTCAAATCTTGCAACATCACTGTGAACTGATGCAGAAAGTTCGGGGCAGTGTTGCGACCCATCTTTCCTTCCTGCCCCCCCCCCCTCCCCCCCACTGCGGTGGTCTAGTGGCTATGGTACTCGGCTGCTGACCCGTAGGTCGCAGGTTCGAATCCCGGCTGCGGCGGCTGCATTTCCAATGGAGGCGGAAATGTTGTAGGCCCGTGTGCTCAGATTTGGGTGCACGTTAAAGAACCCCAGGTGGTCGAAATTTCTGGAGCCCTCCACTACGGTGTCTCTCATAATCATATGGTGGTTTTGGGACGTTAAAAACCACAAATCAAAAAATCAACCTTTCCTTCCTGCATCGTTTCTAGCTTACCGGGCATTTCTCTCGCTGGAAGAATGGCATTTATGGTCTTATGCACAATTTACTAATAGACCTGAAGTCATCCTTCTTTTCAGTACGCTGGCAAAAATATGTTTTTCCTAATAAAGAATCTCTCTCTCTTTTCATCAGTCTCCTTTTAAAGAATTGAGGTGTTTCTTTTGGACTTGCGATTCGTTGCCGGTTCTTCTAATTGCTGTCAGCTATGATTTTAGGCAAATATAAATTTTAGGGCCTTTTATCATTCATGACAATATTTCTTGACTGTTTAGTAATTGTATTTAATCATAGAGTACAAGATGTTTATCGAAGTTCACAGAAACAGCAATTTCTCTTTTCAAGCTGTACGCTTTAACAAAGCACTGTGTGCCCTTCTCTCTTTCTGCAGTCTAAGCATCTTTCAACTGCGCGGTGAACCGAGACAATACGGAAGGGAGAAAAGCCATCGCTCTAGGTGCAGTTAATTTTTCTCTTCTCTGCACATAGCGCATTAATTGTATGTGCACTAATACCACAGCACTGCGAGATTAGCAGCTTGACGTGGCGTGAGCGACCTGAACTTTCCTGCACAAACATGTTTATCTAGGTAGCAGTGTAAAAGAATTTTGTGATTTCAGTTTAGAAGAGCTGGAACGGAAGTTGCATTGTGCTTAATTATTCATAACTGTTTTTTCTTTTACAGCAGACTATGCACTTACTCCAGCTTTTCTAATTACTTGACATTCTCGTAAAGCTTTATATTGGTTGCGCATACTAACTTATCTTTCACCCTAAAACTAGTCATTTTAGGCAACAAGCTTGCTTTCACGTGGTTGAATTTGCCGTGCTTGGCATAATCACTTATTTGCCCAAGCTTGCTCCAAGCGAATTGCACTGTTTTTATACTGGACCTTTCATTTTGCAGTACTGTGTGGTGTATTTAACTTTTTAAGATACATATATAAAAGACTGGGGGAAAAAAAAAATTAGTGTTATGCCACGTAGTTGCACCATCTTGGTGAGGTGTAAAATTGCCCTTCATTTCTTATTGGCAACGTGACTTGGTAGTGTTAAATGAAGTTGAGCCATTGCTCTCTGTAAATGGAGTGATTCTTTATATAAATGAATATTTGTTTTTTCTTTTTACTGCTCAGCTGAAAGCCCGTGTGTGGGTGTGTGTGAAATCTGTAGGTATCATTACCGTGCCATTTCGTAAACCAAATTATCCACACAGTTCTATAATGTTACATTACCAACACTTACATTACTTTACACTACAATCAAATCTTTTTAATCCCTCAACACGCACACACGCAGGTCAAAATCGGCACGCCACCGCCATCAGGAGCCACAGGACTTGGCTTCCGAGGTGGCTTCGTCCACGGCGAGCATTTGTTACCCTGAGTCTAGAGGACTGGTGCCCAAGTGAATGTCAGAGCCCCTACAGGATCCACAGAAGACGGCCACTTTCCTACTGCTAGTGCAACTCCTGCTCTTCTTTGCCGCTTGCCTAGAGTGCTCGCTGCGCCGATGAATCTGCCACGTTGCGATGGCCTAACCTGTTGCGTCCTTGCATGCATTGCGACGGCAGAACCCATCACAACTTCGGTTTAGCATGCATTACGCATTATAACAGAGGAAGTTGTCACTGCTCAGCATGTATTGTGATGTATTGTGATGGTAGAACTCGTCACTGGCTTGGCATGCATTGAAGGGAGCGGAAACCTAGTTCCCATTTGCGGACCCCGGCGATGGTCCGTTTATGCATCTAGCTTTGAGTTGTCGAAACCAAACTCAAACTAGTTTTTCAGGTGTGTAGGAACGAGCGTGCATCAAAGCTCAAAAGAAGTTCTGGTTGGTTCTAAAGAGGTATGAACAAGAACTAGATGACAACATCCTCTACGGCGAAGCTTGCATGTGCAGTGACACTGCCCAGCTAAGGCATGTGAACTCCTTGAAAAAAGCCATCATCACAAAACGCAGATTTGTGGGAAGATTTAGCATGAAAACCATAGACGCCTCACGTATTCGCTTAAATGTGACGAAAGCACTGCACCTGACAGAACATTCAGCGCAGAGGCCACGTCACAAGTTCCCACACCGTGGATGTTGCCTTCACGTATCTTCAGTAGCAGAGATTGCTTCGTAACACTGATAGGTAATAACGACCAAATTATACCAAACTGGCCAACCGACATAAATCTGCATGCTGGGACAATTTTCTTTTCCTGCACACTTGTGCATCCTCGCATTATCTTCTCCCCAATTGTGCACACTTCAATTTCACGTTTCAAAAAATCGACATACGGAGATGAACCAGCTCTAATGTCATGTTTTTAATGTAGCATAAGCAGCATGTTGAGACACGTTAGCAGCTTAGCACCCTGTTAGAAGAACACGCCTGCTTTCAGTTCAGACTTGATGTTCACTGCAGTTGCAAGTAGAAACAAGAATGATGCGCTGTACAGCAAAGCTGACAGTCATACGGATGAGTTGGTGACTAATCATAGCAAGGTGTACACGTGTCCGTGATGCAGCATGCAAGATAACACACAGAGACAAGAGTGAGTGTTCTCTTTATCCAGGTCTCAGTATTCCTCTTGTTCGATGCAGCACCTCACTCACAAATTACTCTCAAGCCTGCTTATAACAAAGTCACATCAGCAACAAAAATAACTTTGTTATATCCAAAAAAAGTTCGTTATAGATGTTTAACATTGGCACTGTATTTATTGCAAGGCTATGCTACATTTACTTCGTTATAACTGATAATTCGTTATATATCAAGGTTTGCAGTGAACTAAGATGTTCTGTGGAGCTGCATGAAGGGGGAGCCAATGCCATCTATACTACATCTCGTATCCAGAAGGAGCCAGATTTTTCCGGATGTTTCGGTGGCCTTAAGTTTGCTCATACTCAGCACCTCTGTTCTTACTAACAACTCATAAACTGTACTGTGTGCATGTCGAAACCCAGCCACATTGCTTTGCAAGGTGCACTCTTGCGCACCATATAATGTTTTATGACACGTGACGTTTACACCACGTTAGGAAAAAGTGTAGATGAGGTACTCCTCTGCGACCTGAATGCACAGAGAAAAAGTTTTTTCTTTTTTTTTAATCCGTAAGGTTGTCTCGAAACATTCTGCTTAGTGCGAAATACTAGTTTTCGGAAAAGAAAAAAAAGTGATGGGATACGGTGGTCTGTACCATATATGAAACATTCCAGAGTACCGATTGTAGTTCAGTTTCGTGACACCAGCAAAATTGCGCGAGACCTGTGTGTACTTTTAAAATTGTCAGTAAGGGTCGGTCATGTATGCATGTCCTTTTGTGGTCCTTAAGGCGCATTTTTCATAAGCATACATGTATTGATGTACAATGTGCTGCTTTTTTTCTAAGATAAAAAGCTACTGAGTGTTTATGTAACAAAAATTGTCGTGTCAAGAGATTACCTAAGTCAAAACCGGTATGATGCATTCCACAGTTTAGTGTTTCACTATTTCATAAAAATCACAGCTTAACTGTGCCTGACGATAACAATATTTTAGCAAGCCATACATCGGTGGTGTGAATGTTGTGCTGCAAGTCCACTCACATAGAAGCAGCACTTAGTCCATGAGTGAACTTATAGGTTGGGGGAAACATCTTTGTAATAGAGGCCATGTTGTTTGCATTTGGCTGCTTTGATGCACTTGTGACCGTTCCCATTGCCAGCCAGTCGATCGAATCCATTCCGTTTCTTGACTGCGCGTAACAACAGGAATACGCTCTTGTATTTGCATAGTGTAAATGCTAGTTATTGTGAAATGTACGATTATGATGATCAACTAGTTGCTGTCTGTATTTGCAGCATCACACTGTGAATGTGTATTTGTTAACTCTGTGTAAGTGTACCACACTCTTGAGAATCCTGCTATGCTTCAAGACACTGAGCTAAGATGAAAGGTAGTAACATATTGGACATTTAAGAAAAGAAAAAACCCTCGAGGACGTTGTAAAGTGCGCAAGCTTTTTAGGCATCGCTTTGGTACTGCTCATATCAATTTTTCCGCTATGGCGAAGCTCGAGCTGTGATAAGCAGCAGCCAAAGGTCTAAATAGAGATAAGCGCATTACCTGTGTACAGCTAGGTAGCAGTTATTGTAAGTACATATTTGCGTGCTTTGACGGTGGTTGTTGTAGCCCTTTCCTATTATTGTACTTGGTTTTAGTACTTAACGAACCATGCTCAGGTTTTCTGCCTCCTTCTCTCCCCTGCCTAATGCAGAAAAAAGTGATCTATAATGAGCAGGGACTGTGAGGATACCAAGACTAGATGACATTCAATCTCGCCTTTGACTGCAAAAGTTAGCAGGCCCACAGGATTTGAGAAAGCATCGAAGTTCCGAGCTGCTTTCGACTGTAGCCAGAGGAAGGCCATGCAGCACTACGGCAAGATTAACTCTGTGAGAAGTGAAACTGACTTAGGATGACAATAGTACATATTGGAAATACAGACACTGGGTTGTGTCTCGAAGCTATGGAGATAGCCAGCCTTTACTCAAATCTCCTGCTCTGTAAATTGTTGCATTTCCAGCAAAAGTCCTTAAACGGCCACGTTGTGCGTCTAGGCATGCCTTCTTTGACCGTACTGTGTACTCTTTAACACTTTGCTTTGCAGGCGCCGACTAAGTGATTGAAATTGCAGCGCCTCGGGGATTGGCGTAAAAATGAGAAAATTCACTTGTGCCTGGTTCTGGTCCAAGTAGTACGTTTTCGTAGCACAGGAAAACAACACCCTTAATAGATAATTATCGTGAAATGCCTGGTTATCCCAGAGTCGTCATCATATACACCCTGTCTGCAACTGTCAATGCTACAAACTCAAATTTATGAAAAATCCATAAACAGGAGTTGTGTCAAGCCGATGTTTCGACAAGCGGACTTGTATTTCTCAAGGCTAGAACAGAACTTGAAATCCGGTCCACTTGTCGAAACGTCGGCTCGACACAACCCCTGCTTACAGATTTTTCTTCGCAAGCTTCCATCTTCTTCCTACCTTTTTTTTTTTTGGAACTCAAGTTGAATGATTTTGGAGCCATGTGTGGATGTTTGACCCTTTGCTTGTGCTTGTATGAAAAAAAAAGTTAGCATGCTAAACTGTTTAGCAGCAACTGCTGCCTACCTCCCTAATGGGAAAGCTTGGCTGCCCCGTCCCTTTGCTACAAGTGACACATGGCGACATCATGCACATTTGAGCACTCGCGAGAGCGTTCACACGTCGAATGCATCCCAGAAGTGACTACTGACGAGACACATACCTCATGCCCGATGAAATGAAGTCGGCTGTCATTTGTGCTGCCAAGTGCAAGGGCATCGTTTCTACTGCCACACATGAAAACTGTATTCCATTCGAGTTCTATTTAAGCAAGAATAAGTAACAGCTTTCGTATCAAATTTGAAATTTTATTTAGGCCGAACTTATCTGCCTGAAGCTCATGCAGTTATGCTCCTCCTTATCCGGATTGTTCATTTGGTCTGATGGAATAACAAAAAAAAATTTAAGAAATGGGAAGGAATTTTGAAAAAAAACTTTGCCCTTGGAGAGTAAGATCAGTGTAGCACATTTTAGGAGTAACACAGTATGATCATTACTGTTGCTTCCATAACCCAGGAGCAGCTGTGAATGCATGCATAAACATTAATACTTAACGATACCCATTCTCACAATGTTTTTTGCCAGACGTATTCAAAATAGGATGCTGCAAATTTCCGTTTGCTGCCTTCACGCAAGACTAGACATGCATTCCAATGGGTGTCGGTGTTTTTCGGACTTGCTGCTAATAGAGTTGCACAATGAGTGAGCATCACACATTGAACGCAATATTAGGTAAGGCTAAAGACTTGAGCATCAAGCGGAAGCACTGCTTTTGGCACAGCCCTTTTGTATGCGAGAAAGAAAAAATTTGCGAGCGTTACCAGTGCTACGAATATGTGGAGGCTGCCTCACGCTATGCTTACGACTATGAAACGGCAGGCGACCGCCAGTAACGAAAAGTTAGAGAAAACCGAATTCGAGCACAAAGAAAGTGTTAGTGGCTTTCAGGCTGCACGCTCCAGTGACGGCTAGCACTGTCAGAGTAGTGAAATGCTATTTAGAAGGCAGCGACTATGCATACTTCATCTGCTGGAAGCAACGATGCGGTCATTTCCTAGAGAAACCAAGTGAGAAAGTGTGGCGCCTTCTGTAGGGGTCCTCCAACCCGAAAGCAGCTGGTAGCGCCTCTGCAAGCGTGACCACCAAGATTGTTGGCGCAGTGCGGAGTACCTCCAGCTGTGCCAACGTGTATAATACACTCCTCTATCTTCTCTGGCAATTAAAAGTTATGTAGGAGGTACGCTGCCTTTAATATCCGTTTTTTGAAGTGTCTTGAGAAGGTAATTTATGGGCACAGACCGAACACTGAAGGAGTTAGTAGCACCGAAATCTGACAGCTTAGGTAGACTTGATGTATCAGCGGCTTTAGCATATTTTTAGAAAACTAAACTTGTAGTCCCTTTAGCACTACTCTACTATGTTAAGATGTGGATGGCTAGCCTACTTGCGTTAAATTGTAGCTTTAGGAAATGACAAAGCACATTAAAACGAGAAACTAACTGTGCATCAGCGTTGCTTTGTGTGATATATGCAGTACAGAATTGTCGAAGTGGCACCTAGAGCTGATGACTGAAGTTGTTTGTAAGAGCTGAAAATTTTGCCGCGTCTTGAAGCTTTCATGTGTTTGATATTGGTTCAGATTTCTGTGAAGAGCTTCCAAGAGCTCCTAATGCTCATTTCTTTTCCATTAACGTGTACAGTCACCAATAAGATTTTGGTATGCGGGGAAATGCAAAGAAAACGTGAATTGCAGCTGCCGTCTTAGCATGGCACTTCTAATGTAACGCAAGACTCCAGGTCACAAGTACGATCAGCCGAGACTACGGATGTGTTGGTACGCGAAAAATTCTTGCTATTCCCATGTTCCATAAGCTATTGTGGCAGACTTCTCAATATGTATGTCATTTCAGCTGCACAGCATGCAACCGTATGCTGTCAATATAGTTTACAACTGTTTTACAGAAACGGTTTGTTTTTGCAAGCCAGCCTATTTTGATACTTGGAAAACCTTTGTTACCGATACGGCAGCTGGACTGCTAATTAAGGGCTTTTTTTATATGCTTTACCCAGAGTCCCGAAAAATTGAACAAGTGTTGATGTAGACGTGCAAAGTATTTGTTTCTAGTCGACTGACTGCAAGTGATATTTTCGTATGCACTGTTTTACTAATTGGTGGGTATTTATTAACACCGGCTAACTTGGCATATGCCTTTTGACATTGCATGTCCTTTTTGATTTCTTTTCATGAAAGTTTATTTTTTCCTCGATGCTTGTTAGAACTGACCTTTTTATTTTTGATGGGGTGAAAAATAAAGGACATGGCAGTGATGCCATAAAATGCATGTGTCTGTGAATTGTTCTACGGCAATACATCATTTGGGCACAAACGCGACTTAAATGCAGCAGTTTTGGCTTACCACTACCGTGATTTTTTTTTATGGAATACTTTTCAGGATACATATTCATGATTGTACCAACAAACTCACTAACATGTTTTGTATGAAACTAGTTAGCCTGTGTCTTAGCATTGTTGTTCTACTCTGGGTGTTCACAGTATGATAGATGGCCCACACAAAACTTGCACTAGCCTCATATACAGCCAGGCTTGAACGCTTAAAATCAGGCGAAACTATAGTTGTTTGAAGATGTTTTAACAGCATCAGTTAGCTTTTTAATGCAAGACTTCAGTCATTTGCAGGATCTATGCATCAGTAGACACCATAATGTAAATTTACACATGCCACTTCAAAAGCTGGGAAGATCGATTGCCTGACCAATTTACTCCACGTGTGGAAATTCACTTTACACCATTTCGCCGACCATAAGCCAACATGTCCATTTTAATTTTTTATATTTTGCAATATTGACAATACACTTACAGATCACATAGGTCAACTAGTAGCGAGCAGGATTTTGTAAAATAGACCAAAAATTATCCTTTCATTGTGGCGAACACATCTTATAGTATATTTCTTTAAATACGTACATTTTTACGGCATGCAATTTTTAAATATTGAGCATTTCTAAATTAGCAGTCAAAAGCTGCTGGCATGCAAATTCAGTTTTTTTTTTTTTTTTTCATATACGGGCCTTTTCCGAGGCAAAGAGCTGCAGCTTGCTAGGGCAAGTTTTTGGGTCCTTTCAGAGAGAAATCTTAACCTATTCATCTAAACAGTGTTGATAGCCACAGCTTGACAAATGGATACGACAGGGCTGCCACCCAAGGTTTTTTTTGTTGTTTCAACTTCTCAGTTGCTAATAACAATGAAATTTCGTACCAATTGCAAAATGACAAAAAATTGGTAAGCCCATTTTAAAATGTTTAAATGCAGACTTAAGGAATGTAGGGTGCATATTAGATCAAGCACGGTCTAGTGGAATCCCGAGCACCTCAAAGCTGTAGCTGGTCGAGTGCCTACACCAGACACCAGCATACAGTGGATACAGATCGCACAATTCGGCATTCTTCTTTTACACACCTTTCAGCGAAAATTGGCAGACAGAAAATCTAGCCAAAGAAATCATTCCAAGATGGACAACATAACCGCTTGCACTCAAACCAAGGAGGCGGAGGGGGTCCTAGGGCTCAGCTGGAAATTTACTTTTGTGCAAAATTTTCCTGCTATAATAGGAGCAGAAAAAGCCATAAACATAGACTTGCAAACTACGGGCAATGTAACATAGTTTTACACCATACCAGTGAAAATGTAGAAGATTTTAACATTATTTCCATCACAGGAAAATAAAAAAAAGAAAGAACACGAGTGTTTCTACATAAACCCAGCAAACCAGCCATCTCAATTCACGAACGTTAAATCCTGCATAACTACTGGAACGTAAAGAACAAGCATTTCCAAAGTAAATTTCTTTGGTTTCACTGTAGTAGAGACCAAAAGTGCCAACTATGAACTGCCAAATTCTTCACAGAACATCTTCGGAGGCAATCGGAGCTACCAGCATAATATAAAATAGCCAGAAAGTTCAGCAGTCTCTAGAATTGCACGCGTTTTTCACGCGATTTGAGAACTGCTCTCGGGCGCGTCTCTGTACTGAGTATCGGCATGTCTCGTCATTCGGCATAACCGAAGAGAGTGAAAGATGACAGGGCAAGGAGAAAAGCAGTATACACGAAACTACCAGACAGCACCACAGTATCTGTAATCCGAGTATATGCACTACGCACTCGCACAGTACTTTCTGGAAGCCACACAATGCTTCCCATGCCTCTCATTAACTGCACATCGATCCGCACTTATGTTAGTAGTTGGGGACCTCACTCAAGGTATAAAGACAAACAAGATCTTCCCACCATTTAAAGGGCCCCAAAACCCCCTCCGATATTTTCCCAAACATTTCAAGTAAACAAGCGCATCGCGTGCAGAATGCCGTCGCGATCAACGATGATGCACGACGCAGCGCTACAGGTAGCGGGCGTGCCACAATTTTGAAAAAACAATAGCTTCTCCTTTCCGGTCCCCGCCATTCCCGCCACTGACATGTGTGACATCATCAGTGAAACTCGATGACGTTAACACTTTTGATGTTTGCGATTGGCCAAACGACAACAGACAACTTCCGGTCACTTTGCAAACAGCCGTTTGCGCGCACCTTGCTGTTCTTGGTCGTGTTGCCGCTTGCGAATCGACATCTGCGGCCCAGTAACGCAACAGAGTCCTATACCGGCTTGATTCGTAGGGGCATGGGCCGGCACGACAGCAACAGTGGTTAGTCAACAATCAGTGCACCCAGATGACACACATAACACAGTTGACGGCGAGCTGGGTCGTTGGAGTGGCGGATCGCGGCAACCGAAAGTAGACCTGTCTCGAACAGAGCGTCAGCAGTGACGTATGCAACGCGAGATGAGGAGGGGCACTCAGCTGACTCAGCGAGGAGGGGCCAAGCTGTTTTGGAAGAAGGTATCGTAGGAAAGAGGAAAAGAAGCGATCGTCGCATTTCGATCAAACGCATGTAACTCCGCTATTACGGCACCATTTCGAAAAATTCCCACGGCTACGTATTCGTTGTAAATTCGAGCACGACTTCCTCACCTCAACTAAATTTGGACCGCTGGGTGGTTTCGGGGCCCTTTAAGCAAAAAAGTGTTTCTGCAAGGGTGAAGCAATGAATGCGATAGCAACAAATTGGAATGTATGCGAAGAACGGCAACCAGATCGAAAAGTGCAGCGCACTTCTCAAGAAAGAACACACGGAAAAAGCACACACAGGACGAGTACGAGCTAACAACGTTCACAGCTCAACACACTGCTCAAACATCAAGACGCTAGAAACACAAGTACACAAAGGATGAGCGCAAACCAACTAGTGTCACAGTTGTCACTTCGCAGTGTTTGAGAAGTGCGCTCTTTTCGCAAATGGGGACTCTGGGGCAGATGAAGTGACCGTGTGCTCTTCAACTACAACACAATTGTTCCAGTGAAAGCCCAAGACATATGTAATATTCTCCCCGCCTGTGAAATGAGCGCACGATCACGCACCCTACAACAGGTAAAAGTATGCGACTGTGCGGAGAACACCCCCCCCCCTCCCCCGAAGATATCTGTACAGCCAGTGAGAAATGGTGTATATCAATGGCTCGCCGCTACTATGACACAAGATGCACGCTTCCATGGCTCAATTAAGTGGCGCCATGCGCTGTGGAGCGAGCGGTAGCCCATACATATACAGGGCCTGACAGCGATGATGCCAACACGCAGCCGAGAGTGTATAAGCGAAGTGCAACAGTGAAACACAGTCGCAGGGAAAAAGAAACCACGCATCAAAGAAGGATTTTAACACAAAAGCAGTCATGAAGCATGTTTATTTTCAGTCACTGGTGAAGCCTAGGACCATCCCGTCAGCCTCCGGCGACACCGTCTGGAAGATAATGCATACAGCATTTGAGCAATTCAAACGAATGGTCAAGTTCTTGAAACTACACAAGAAACTACTCATTATCCTTTAAACTTAAGATGCAGAATCAGGTAAACGAAAATTACAACTCTCGACCTCTTCATCTGCACTGCACCATTCTATCTAGTGGAACTACAGGGAGTAGCAAGAAAATCACAAGCCACAGCTATCAAGGAAACTGTAACAAGAGTTTCCAACCATTCAATGTCAGCAGTCCTCGGTTGGCAAATACAAAAAAGTGCATTATGTTGGTGAAGAACTCATGTCATGCAAATACACTGTCCATTTACATATGTATAGATGTGTCAATTTAAATGTTCATTTTCTTTGTTAGATACAATACTGATGACAGTTCTCATTACCATCCCCTGTTTATGCAATATTAGCCAGGGTCCGACAAAAAGTTTGTTTTCATTTATGGTGGCACTGTCACCAGGAAGGTGGCTTCAATCGAGGCATGCACAAGGCAAGAATGACCGGTAAAAGCCTAGGCATGACAAATCAATTCAAACTTTACATCTGTTATCATGCGTATAGGAGAAACATGCAGTGGTTCATCAATGAAGCTACGACAGGGACGATGCACTCCTTGTCAGCTTGCTCGTTTGTATCACGCATTAGGCTATGCAAGTGTTAGCCAGAACCATTCGCAACCATTGCACAGGCTGTCAGATGTACTTTCAGTCAAAAAATCACACAAAGCATGAACTGTGGAAGCAGGCAAAACCATCATACATTACACCAAGGTGTGAAGGCTGTGGAGCGACGCCCCTTACATAGTATGCATTGAGCAAGATGAGGACTTGAGTCATAAGAGATATGCCAGCTGAAATACACCCACACCACCTGAACCAATTTATACAGAGCTGCACTGCACATCTTTTTGTCTGAGTGCAGTTTGAATCTTGCAGGCGTACTGACACAAAAACTTAGGCCTCACGTTTTTCTGCTGCAATGTGTTGCTGGGGGCCTGTTAGTCGTAAAATGACACATCGTTTGCTGCAGCATGCAAGAAATAATTATTTACAGGCTCCTTAGTATCGACCAGTCTCAGTTTGAGAGAGTTCCGAAAATGAGAAGCCACCGGGTGCAACCATCGCCATTTAGCGTGGCCAGCTTTCGACCACATCAGCACACAGAACTGCGACACGCATCCGCACGGTTCGCACCAAGAATTACTTTCGAATAGGAAATGGGACAGCAGTGTTGCCACACACAAAACTTTCATAGCTTGCTCCACGGCCACAAACTTGCCACCGAGAACGTCGAGAAGAAGGGGGCGAAGCAAGTTCGCGTGCCGACATCGGTCCACGGTAAAACTACAGTGACGGCAATGCTCTGTTACACGTCAGACGGGCACAAGCTTCGCCCGTACCTCATATTTAAATGGAAGACGCTCCCGAAAGGAGTCGTTTTTTCGAGTGGTG